TACAAGCATAGTCGCCTTTTACGGCAAGCATGGATTGCTGAAGACCTATTGATTCTGAGCCAGATTCAACAGTGGGGTGACAGCATGAGCATTGTCCCCGTAAAGCTCATGCCATGTTATTTTTTTGTCTACTCTTCAAAATCGGTACAGTAACAGATAGATACTTAGGACACGAAGGTCGCCATTAACGTCGTTTTTGATGTCAAAGAACATATGACGAGCTGTTTGTAATTGCCAATTATTGTTCATCAACTTTTTTTAAACATTTCATTTTTTCGGAATTACAAAATGTTGGTTGGTTGGTTGGTTTGTTGTTTAACGCCGCACTCAGCAATATTCCAGTTATATGACGGCGGTCTGTAAATAATCGTGTCTGGACCAGACAATCCAGTGATTAATATCATGAGCATCGATCCACGCAATTGGGATCGATGACATGCATCAACAAAGTCAGCGAGTCTGACCACCCGATCCCGTTAGTCGCCTTTTACGATTACAAAATGAGTGAGTGAGTGAGTATGGCTTTGCGCAACGTTACCAATATTCTAGCAATATCACGGCGGGGGACACCAGAAATTGGCGTCAAGCCTTATGTCCATGTGGGGAATTTAACCCTGGTCTTCGGCGTGTCGAGCGAACGCTTTAACCACATTTGTGAAAATGGTACTTCAAAGAATCTAATCAAATTTGAAAATCACGAATAATTCACAGAATTGTCCGCAGCGTATCGGGGGTCCGCTTCAATAGTTTTGTCATATCATTTTTTTTAATACACCCCATCACACACATGTTAATCATTACTGTCACATCGTTGATCACAGTCACCCGGATGACACGCATCGTCATTGCAAACAATGCTCTCAACTCGAAATCCATTGAACACATGACCTTTGTGAAGAGATGATGCTATCGGCTACTGAATGTTTCCAAAATCACCGGAAGTTGAAGTTTTGCCGTACTGATAAAACACGAGAGGTGAGGGTACTTAGCGATGGAGGGGATGGGTTGTGCGGTGGAGGGGGAGGGGTAAAATGCTTGAGGGGAGGGGGTAATTTGATTGGTGTGTCTTCGACCCTATTTAGCCGTGTTGTCACAAATGTCAGGCTCCTCATTAACAGATGCTTCAAAATTGAACCCCCAGGACAGAAGTCACGTGACCGTTCCATTCAGGCACAATTGCAGCTGGAATGCAAGCGAATTATTTCCGTCAAGTGGGTGAATGTTGTTTAACGCCGCAGTCAACAACAGTTCAGCTCTGTCACGCGTCTCTGTCTTTGTAACCCACAAGCACGGGTATGGTTTTGACAAACCTAGAAACATAATCTCGCCGAACCGTGAATCGAACCCACGATCACAGGTTTCTGGTGTCCCCAAGGGCCGTAACTCTGCACAGCGAAATGCGGTGCCCGAGACGACTGAGCCCCCGACCAACGCCACCGAGGAACAGAATAACACCGAGCCTGACCACCCGGCTCTTTAGTGGGTTCTTACAGGCATGGGATACATGGTACCTATTCTTCGAAGGTGAAAGTTCCGACACATGAATATTAACTGGATATCATCAATGTAAAAACCTGTACCGTCTTGACCTCACTGAAACACTAAGGGAAGAACCCGTGGGTGGGAATAGGTCTTCAGCGACAGTAAGAGGCGACTAACGGAATCGGGCGGTCAGGCTCGCTGACTTGCTTGATGCATTTCATCGTATCCTAATGGCGTGGATCGATGCTCATGGTGTCAGTAACTGGATTGTCTGGTCCAGACTCGATTATTTACAGACCGCGAACGTTGGGAGGGCGTTGCGACCCCGCCCTGGGGACGGCTTATATATATGTTACAGTCAATGTGTAAAATCAGTCAATTTGTAAAATTATTTTACAATTATTTTTCCTTCAGATTGACTAAAAGTTATATGAAAACATCACAATAGACTAATTATGCTTGGATTAGAAGCCAAACAATTAAATATCATATATATTTACTTTCATTTTCTTTTAATCCTGTCATTTTCATTAACTGGGTGTTGAAATAGAGCATAAAATGTTATGGAATTCGTTATCATATTGGAATATCAATAAATGGAAAAAGCAATTGTAAAACGACTGAAATATTTTGGCGGTTTGTTAATTAGTGAAAATTTCAGTCACACAATTTTACACATTGACTGTAACATCTACACAAGCAGTCCCACTTGGGGCGGGGTGATGTGTATGGGGCACAGGGCAGAGTTACACTTCTTACTGAAGCAGGTTTAAACAAGACGGTCATCGAAGGGCCGTTGTGGTATAGGTCATATTGTCATGTCAGTAGAGGTTTTTGCTTTACAAGAAAGGAAAAGTAATGAGTGGGTTGGTTTCAACACCATTTTGAACAGTATTCCAGTTATATCACGGCGTGTCAGCTTAATGTGGGAGGGAGGCCTGACGTGATGCAGGTCTCAGATGTTTACCACTTCGGTGAAACCCACGAGCACGGGTATGGTGCTGACAAACCTAGAAACACAATCTGGTGAACTGGGATTCGATGTGATGTGTGAGTGAGTTAGTCAGATTATTACTTAGCAACCTTGTAGATATTCACAGCCACTGTCTGTAAGGACTCTGTTGTCTAAATTTCAGTTATGAAAAAAGCTTCTAAAAGGATAGACATTTAAATATGATTCTTACTATTTGACTTTCCCATTGCAACAATTATTTTAAATCTCTCTAAAAAATAGTGACACGGCACTGTAGCTCTTCTGGATATGTAGGCAACAGTGAAAAGAAAAGACATCCACTTAAATGCTTCAGCATAAATTATGAGGACCAAGACTAAAATATAATAAATTGAAAAAAAATATATCAGAGGAAGATGAAAAATAAAAATAATGTACTTATGTGTTGAATCCCACAATTAACACACAAAAATACCAAATTTCATAAAAATGCCTGAAAATGACCATAAATAGCTCAAATTTGAATTGGGATGTCATTATTGGTGGGAACAAGAAGGTCCTGTTCCAGCCTCACTGCTCAAGTGGTTACAATGCTGGTGTTCAGGGAGAGGACATTCAATTGAGAACATTTAAGAGAGTTGTCAACGGGTAAAATAGAGGTAAAAACATTATCACAAAATGGAACACATGTCTTGAGCCCCACTACTAACTAAACACAAATTAAATTTCATTCAATTTTGAAACAACACTGAGTACTGAGTGTTCTGAGTAACTTACACAACAAATCAGCTGTAATTGTGGTTGAAGGTCAAAGGTCAACTCAGGATCAAAATATGAAATAATGCAAAGAAAACAGATCATATATGTTGAGTCCCACTAGCAACTACACATATACCAAATGTGTACTTTCAGCAATATTCCAGCAATATCACAGTGGCAGACACCAGAAATGGTCTTCACACATTGTACCCATGTCGGGAATCGAACAACGCGTGACGAGCGGACGCTTAACCATTTGGCTATCCCACCAGCCCCTTTACATTTTGTACAATATGTCTGAGTAATAGCCCAAAACAGGTTTTTCAATATGGCCCTTGAACAAAATGGAGTGACATCATTGGTGGAAACAAATATGTGAAGCACCAGCTTCATTGATCCAGTGTCTTCTCAGGTGAAGATGTTACCAACGGATGTCTGACAAACAGATCACGACATTAGCTCATTTGACTTTCAACAAGTGTTTTCAGCTTTCCTTCCTCCTTAGCCAGGCAGTTTTGAAAAGTCTTGAAAAACAAGAGAACATTTTTATCAACTGGCTTGAGGCAGTGAGTTTAAAATGTAACGTCGCATCAGCATTATTTCAGCTATACATGTATATGGCTTGAAGCAGAAAAAACTCAGGCTTTTGAGCAAGATTTATTTCATCTGAAAATATGGAGGTAAAGTTAAAAAGTGAGACATAGAACATACTAGTACATTTGCCTGACCTAAATAACATAAAATCCCTAATTTTTACAAACACAACATATATAAGATAGGACCCAATGAATGTCATTGCCACAACCCTATTTCCAAGGTAATAAAATATCACCAAAATAATCGAAAAGATATGCATTCAACTGGTCTGGTTTCACACAAACAAATAACTTTTCAAGGAATGTTTGCCCACAAACATTACATATTCTCACAAATACTAAGCAAATACTAAATCATTGATTGCACATTTGATATGGAATGAAAAGTAAATTATCATAAAAATATATATTTGATTACAACCCTGATATTTCATTTACACGATATATGACATTTACACGTAAAATACCACAAGTGAAATGTTTTAAAGTTGAAAATACATCAGTAAGTACCCTTAAAAGAGAAATGAAATTTGTCTTGCCCAAATCATTGAGTGAGTTTCTGTGAATCAACAATTCCAGTTTTGGAAAACAACTGTTTTTTTCCGTACAGACATGTTTATTCAGAATCAGCTTTCTCAATCAACATGGCACCAGTTTCAAACTGGGGACTTCTATTCCAGAATACTATCTGAAAAGGATTTGACAAAGTTCTCGAAACAACATTTTAAAACTGAACAAAAGGACACAATGTAATGTCTAATAAATGGACAAGATTGTATGGCAGAACTTCCCATGGCAATGTAAAGTCTCTTCCGTTAAAATGTTTATCCCATATTGAAGCGAGAGATAAACAAAGATTTTGATTCAGTTGTACAGTCCGTAGCTGTCGTTTGGAATACCCCATGTTAACCTTTCTAAGGTTGCATGATCAGAAAACACATTCCGACTGTCACAACGAAAGGTCATTCTGATGTGACCCATAATGGGATGTCCTCAGATCTTTGTTTAGCGGTAGCCAGAACCATGTGATTCGAATGAGATTGGGTATGATTTGGCCCCAGAAAAGATCTTAAACAAGAGTAATTGCTATCTTTTGATGTGCAACTTACTGAGCTATCCAGACATGAGCAACACCATATGACAATACCATATATATATATATATATATATATATATATATATATATATACATATACATATATATATATATATATACAGATACAGCTTGTGTAGCCTAGTCATATTTATAATTTTAAAACTTTGCTCAGGGTATCTCCATTTATATATACTCACCGACAAAAGAAACGCGAATACCATACTTGTTGGTTAAAATATGAAGAATTACTCATATTCAAGAGATATAAGATTGGTTCAATGCACAAACTGGTATGTTGTGTGAACCGATGCTCATTAACGCATCACATGTGATGTCATAGATCCATGACTTGAGATGCACCAATTGTCTTGCGCAGGATTAGCATGTAAAGTTTGGAAATCACCACATATCGTGATAAGAATAAGGACACTGGTAACACTTGGCTGATTGTTAGTTTTGTCATTATTTGGTACACATTAAAAACATCTCTTCTTAATGTTCATACTTCTCTAGACTCTATATGTTTCTATGGTTCGCGTTTCTTTTGACAGTGAGTATTATATACTCGTATCGGAAAATAAATAAGACATCAAGCTCACATCAGTGGACAATTATCAGTATCACAGCCATACAAACAGTGGCACTTGAACTAAGGCACATTAGATAAATAGTGCACGACAAACTACCAGTACCATCAAACAAGTACATCTCCCATAAGGTAGCTATTTAAGGCCCAAATAAATTAATTACCAGATTTTCATATCCGAACGCCTCATTACAAGGCAGGGCTCGATTTAAGGAACTTGATTTAATTTGCACCAGGATTTTTACAGGATTTTGATTGGACTTAGTCCGGCCAAATATATAACTCCAGAATTCCAGCCTGGGTGAAAGGGTGGAAACTGGACTTTTATAGTCAGTTAACTCCCTTGCATCGGGAAATTTCTACTAGCCTGCATCAAAGTCTAGTTTTCAGGAAACTATACTGTGATATAGGCTAGTGGACACTCTTGCCTTGGGAAGAGGGAAGTCTTACCACACATCCCTGCTTCATCGGAATCACATCTGTCAACAGTTAGTTTACGAGTCATGAACATTTAGATTAAAATAATCTGAATTTTTTAAAATATGGCTATGCCTCATATTCTTTTCAAATCTGAATAAAACTAAATAATGATTTATTCATTGCAGCCTGCAGAGAAGAGTGAGTGAGTAAGTGAGAGGATGTTTTCTTATATATAATTCCAGTTACATTATGGTGATTTTTAAATATTTAAGTCAGCAGTGAAAACAATCATATTTTTTATTCTAAGCAACTGACAAGAGTCCCTGTTTTGTCACATTGAGTACTACATTTTCTCTTGTTAGGTTTGTTTTATATCCTTAAGTATTTCTTTCCCATTTGTCATGTACAACATCTTTCGAGAAAATTTACAAACAAGAGTCATCAGAAGATGACAAATCCCCCGGCCCCTACACTAGACACTTCAGCCTCAGGTTAATATATACCCGTATATCATTTGGATGAATTTTTTTTCAGTTTTCAATATATGTTCCGGAAACAAAATACGGACGGATGGACAGACAAACCAGATGATGACTATATCCCCCCGCATCATACGCCCGGGGGTATAAAAAGTGACAATTAATGAGGTCAGCAGAGAACCAAAAACTAGGAAACTTACAAGATTGCTAGTTTGTGCATGTTTAGTCTTCTTTAGTGTGTTTTTTAAACTATTCACTTTTCTTCCAAGTATATTTATTATGTGTACCGGTAATATCTTTTGAGAACATTTTAAAAAGTGCTTCTATGATGTAGTTTAAGAACACAAATCTTACCACAATAAATTCTTTTAACAATTGAGTGAGTGAGTATGGTTTTACGCCGCTTTTAGCAATATTCCAGCAATATCACGGCGGGGGACACCAGAAATGGGCTTCACACATTGGTACCCGGGTCTTCGGCATGACGAGCGAACGCTTTAACCACTACGCTACCCAACCGCCCCTCTTTTAACAAAAGGTATGTTTAGCATGTTCAAGTTAAACAAAGAGAATGTTTGGCTTCAACATTCACACTATCAAAAGTCTTGAACAAAACTGAGAAAATGCTACTGAAAAGATGTCCCTGCCATTGTGCTGTAAGTATTACATGGTATGCTATGTGAAGAAGGGCAAGGTTAAATTGCAAGTCCTGTAAATTTGAAGGTCCAGGCCCACTGACATGGAATCTTGTTGAAGGGAATTGGGGGAATCTCGATGTCTATCCCCTTGGGTTCCCGCTTCTGCCAGTTGAAGTTACCAGGGTAACCGAGAAGGGAAACAGTGGTTGCTAGGGAGGTGAGCGGGTCGCCAAGGGAAAGAGTGTCACCTTTTGGCCAATCAAGGACAACAGCATAGACACTGGTTCCGCCATTTTGTTTCTTGGATGTGTACCTGTGACATAAATGAGGGGATTAATTATGGTGGTATGGGTGCGTGTGTACTCCCCAAAGGTCCCAAATCATGTGAGGTTAATGAATGAATGAAGTCATGAAAACTATGTGGATCGGTGGCCTTGTTCTGCATGCTTGACTTATGCGAGTTTCACAGGTTACATGTGGTGTTTCCCTTAAGCAAGAGACTTAGTTAGAAACACGCTTCTGTCCACCCAACAACGTATGGGTACCTGTGAGAAGGTAATGTGACTGTCAACATTCTGAGTGTAATTAAGACTGCCCAAAGAAGAGAGCATGGGCTCTTGTTCCAAATCAAAATTTTGATCCTGTCAATAGAAAACCACATAGAAACGTCCACAACACTATCCTAGTGCAACCTTGATTTTTTCCATTTGCAACTGTCCATTTAAGTTTGTGTTTGAGACAAATAAATCAGATATGCTGCTCTGAAAGCTTTGCTAGGTTGTACCAACAGTCCAAGCATTGACGCTGATCGATTGGCTGATTAGAAAGTTCACCTGACGCGACATCCAATGTAGGATCTTCATACAGATCTTCATATGTTTGTTTGTTTGTTTGTTAAACGCCGCAGAAAAATTCCAGCTTTATGACGGCGGTCTGTAAATAATTGAGTCTGGACCAGACAATCCAGTGATTGATATCATGAGCATCGAACCACGCAATTGGGACACGATGACATGCATCAACCAAGTCAGCGAGTATGACCACCTGAACCCGTTAGATGCCTCTGACGACAAGCATAGTCACCTTTTACGGCAAGCATGGGTTGCTGAAGACCTATTCCAATCTTCACAGGTTTCATGATATGTACTGAACTTGTGACAGGGTAAAACAACTGATTTTAACTTGTTCAACAGGACTTAGATATATCTATATATATATGCCTTAAAATATCACCAATTTGCTAATTACAAACTAGGTGATGTCCTATCATGCCAATTGTCTTGTATACCCTATATTCAAAATGGTTGAAGCTTGTTTTGTTTGTTTGTTGTCTAATGCTGCACTCAGCAATATTCCAGGTACATGACGATGTTCTAAAAATAATCAAATCTGGATCAGACAATCCAGTGATTGACATCATGAACATGATCTATGCAACTGGGATACAACAACATGCATCAACCAAGTCACCAAGCCTGACCACTCGATCCTGTTAGCGCCTATTACAGCAAGCATATACAATATGTACAATGTATAGATACAATATTCCTATGTACCATGACAGTATCCCTGACAGACCACACTCACCACACTCTACTGGTCAGCGTGTCGTTCTGTGACGTCCAGGGCCGGGTGGAGTAGATGGCCTCCCCGTTCACCTTCAGCCAGTCTCCCATTTGCTTCAGGCGCTCCTGGAAGAGCGGGATGATGCGTCCATCTTTGGTGGGGCCGACATTCATCAGCATGTTGCCTCCACAGCTGAAATATCAACATGTCCATGCTTAAAAGATGCTTTTTTTTTGTGAGTGAGTGAACCGCCTCCGTGGTCGTTGCCTCCACAGTGGAAATATCAACATGTCCATGTTTAAAAGATGCTGTTTCTTTGTGAGTGAATGGGCCGCCTTCGAAGGTCTGGGGTTTGATCCCCATCTGCGTCATACCCAAAGATGGTATTTGTTGTTACCCTGCCTGGCGCTCGGTGTGAAGGGGCTATAACAAGGAGTGGTTGGCTTGGAGTCAGCATACTGTGTCTGAGTTGGGTATTCATGTCGGGGTATTCATGTCGTGGTATCTCAGAGGGCTAGCACTATAACATCGGCATTAGTCCATAAAAGTGTCAGGGTATAAAAGAGGAGGAAGACCCAAAGTGAAGCTGGTTGTCGATATTTACCACTTCAAGGAGACATAATTGGGTGGATCCAGGACTGGAAACAGCAACCAGCAGATCCTGGCTTTGCTAAGGGATGTAACCCTACACCCTGCACTTACACATAACTTATGAAACTCACTCTCTGCATTTGTGTACAACACCCTTTAGTTTCATGTAAAAAAAACCATGATGACTGACTGACTGTGATAATGTGTGGGTGGCTTCCTGTACTAGTCCAGACAAATGCTGGTTTTATAGTGCTAACCCACTGAGCTACTACGCCTCAGATTAAAATGGAAATCCCACTCAGACACAGTATACTGACTCCGAGCCGACCAGTCCTTGTTTTAGCCCCTTAATGCCGAGCACAAGGTAAGGTAACAACAAGTACCATCTTTTAACATCTTTTGGTATGATTGGCAGGGGATGGAACTCCGGACATTACGCTCTCCGGGCAGACACTCCATGTAGGTGAAAAGTGGTCTCTGTAATAGATGAAATAGGGAGACCATACAAGGTGAGGTGAAATGGGGTTTAACGTTGCGTCCAAGATTATTGCACTTATATAGCGACGTGCATGCATGTGTGTGTGTGTGTGTGGCTGCTTGAACTAGACTGGACTGATGCTAGTTTCATAGTGCTAGCTCACTGAGATACCATGCCGCAGTTTAACATGAATACCCCACTCAGACACAGTATACGGACTCCGAGCCGACCAGTGTTGTTTTAGCCCCTTAATGCCAAGCGCCAGACAGGGGAACAACAAGTACCATCTTTTAACATCTTTTGGTATGACACGGCCGGGGATCGAACCCCAAACCTTCCACTCTCCGGGCAGACGCTCTACCACTAGACCACGGAGGCGGTCTGGCGACCAGACAAGGATATACATATTTAGATTATAGCATAGCATGTCTCCATGATAAACTACACCACCTCATATTCCAACCAAACATTTGCGCTCTATGTGAATCATACCCATTGACAATTAATATACACAGATGCTTTGAACGGTGATGGGTTTGTCTAATAAAATTAAATTAAAATAAAAGAAAACAAAATATAATAACCTCATTTTTTCCCCGAAGATTTGGATGAAAATCTAATCATTAATTTACTGTGGCATCATCTCAAAATTTGTTGATGGAATAAGAGTATATTATATTATTTAGATTCAAGATACTGATGCTTCAACATCTCATTGTGAGTGAGTTCAATTTTAGGCAAATTTTGGCAATACAGGGGACACCAGAAATGGCTTTCACACATTCACCAAGCCTTGAAGTTCATTGGTATGAAGGGACCGCCTCCGTGGTCTAGTGGTAGAGTGGAAGGTTCGTGGTTCGATCCCCGGCAGCGTCATACCAAAAGATGTTAGGAGATGGTACTTGTTGTTACCCTGTCTGGCGCTTGGCATTAAGGGGCTAAAACAAGGACTGGTCCGCTCGGAGTCAGTATACTGTGTCTGAGTCGGGTATTCATGTTAAACTGCAGCATGGTATCTAAGTGGGAGGGCACTATAAATTGGCATCAGTCAAGACTAGTACAAGCAGACTCACACACACACACACACACACGTACATGCACGTCGCTATATAAGTGCAATCATCTTGAATGCGATGTTAAACCCCATTTCACTGAACCTCACCTCATTGGGATGAACCAACATTTAACCACAAGGCTGCTAAGACCCTGCATGGTTATTAAGGTAACAAAAGTTACCTCCCCTTACACAGAATTTGTCATCTCTGCCAAGGATACAAACATGTGCTACCGGGTAATCTTTTCTCTTTTTTTTAAACATTTAACCCAGTGAAAGCTTCATTCACTACTGACTAATTTTATCCAAGAAATAGCTATATACATTTATTTTGAACTTGTTTTAGTACTTTTTCAATCATCAGCCATAGGGTGTAGTTATTTTGCCTGTTTTTCCCTCTGTCTCTTAACTCTTATTTTTCTGGTTCAGACGCTGCCATGACATAGCCAAGTATGGTGTTAAACAACATCCACTCATTCACTCAAAACTGGTTTGCTTTAACTTCAACTCTTCTGTCAAATCACCTACCGTGACTACTAGAGGGGCGAATTCATTGAAAGACAAAAAAAAAAACAATAAGACACACACAACCACACACACAGACAATCAGACACAGGCAGACAACCACAGACCAATAACCACAAACAGACAACTACACAGACAGACAACCAGACACACAACCAGACACAGACACACAACCGGACAGAGACACACAACCAGACACAGACACACAACCAGACACAGACAGACAACCACACACAGACACACAACAGACACAGACAGACAACCACACACATACAGACAACCAGACACAGACACACAACCAGACACAGACACACAACCAGACACACAAACAATCAGACACAGACACACAACCAGACAAACAACAGACACAGACAGACAGACAACCAGACACAGACAGACAACCAGACACAGACACACAACAGACACAGACAGACAACCAGACACAACCACACAACAGACACAGACAGACAACCAGACAATCAGACACAACCACACAACAGACACAGACAGACAGACAACCAGACACAGAGACACACAACAGACACAGACAGACAACCAGACACAGACAGACAACCAGACACAGACAATCAGACACAACCACACAACCAACCAGACACAGACAGACAACCAGACACAGACAGACAATCAGACACAGACAGACAATCAGACACAGACAGACAACCAGACAACCGGACAGACAACCAGACACACAGACAATCAGACACAGACACACAACCTGACACAGACACACAACAGACACAGACAGACAATCAGACACAGACACACAACAGACACAGACAGACAACCACACACAGACACAGACAGACAACCAGACACAGACACACAACAGACACAGACAGACAACCAGACACAGACACACAACAGACAACCACACACAGACACAGACAGACAGACAACCAGACACAGACACACAACAGACAACCAGATACAGACACACAACCAGACACAGACACACAACCAGACACAGACACACAGACAATCAGACACAGACAGACAACCAGAATAGACAACCACACACAGACAGACAACCACACAGACAGACAACCACACACAGACACAGACAGACAGACAACCAGACACAGACACACAACAGACAACCAGACACAGACACACAACCAGACACAGACACACAACCAGACACAGACACACAGACAATCAGACACAGACAGACAACCAGAATAGACAACCACACACAGACAGACAACCACACAGACAGGCACCCAGACACAGACACAGACAGACAGTCAGACACAGACAAACAACCAGACATTACCTGACAGTGGAGACAAATGTCTCCAGCAGGGATTCAATGGTGAGGAACTGGGTCAGGGTTGTGTTTCGGCGGTACCCCCAGGACTGACTGTCAATCGTCATTGCATTCTCAAACTTCCTGGTCTGCAGTTTGCCTGGAATATCAATATTATCAAAAGTTGATAAAAAAAATTAAAATATAAGATATATAACTTTATTTGTTTGGATCAATTGGTTATGTGTGAAACAATTAATGCTAAGTGCAGAATGTTCGCCATTATCTCAGTGACATACATAGAGGGTGTTCCATGTGTCGAGTGAAATATCATGTTTTTCTCATCGTATGATGGGAGAAAAGGAGACATTATCACTTGTGGCTATTATTCTTGAAAACTACGAGCCTGCTGTTGGAAGCTAAAGAATACATGCTGGACAAGTAACAATGGCGCCTTGCGAAATGGACGGTCTTGACTGACAAATAAAATGAGAAATTTACAGTTTGTAACAAAACATTTTCAAGAGAATAACAAACGGCATGAAGCTATATTAACTCCATATATGACCATCTGTCACCCATGAAGATCTGGGGTAGAATAGGTCTTCAGCAACCCATACGCGCTGTAAAAGGCAACTGTGCTTGTCACAACAGGCGACTAACCGGATCAGGTGGTCAGGCTCGCTGACTTGGTTGATGCATGTTATCGATCCCAATTACATAGATCAATGCCCATGATGTCAATCACTTGATTGTCTGGTCCAGACTCGATTACTTACAGACCGCCGTCATATAGCTGGAATATTGCTGTGTGCAGCGTTAAACAAAGAAAGAAACAAACAAACAATATTTTGCCTTGTCAATGTGGAACTAACATAAAAGAGGAAGTCAACAATTTGTGTACGGGTCAGACACTTACAATAAAGGGAGACAATTTAAGGGGAGGTAACTCTTGCATGACAATAGTTCCGTCAAAGGTGTTATGTTCATAGCAGTGAAATATCAAGTGTTATGTTCACTGCAGTGAAACGTGAAGTATTATGTTCACTGCAGTGAAACATCAAGTGTTGTGTTCACTGCAATGAAAATATCACTTTTCTCAACTTCGGAAAACTCTTTCACATTGAAGTATATTATAAATGTATTTATGTCTGAGCAGACTTTGCTCTCGACAGAGGTATGCAGAGGCCACACTCATAATTATTAACCAGTTAATTGTTAATAATCTGTTAGATTTTTGCACTTCTATATATAAGTTACTCCAATCCACCAGAAATAGTGCAGTTCCACGAATAAAAATCAAATCAAATTATGCCTATGATATTTTCTGATTGTGGTTTGGGCTCCAGGCAGTCGATTGCTTACCTGGATTATACCGGTCTGAGCAGGTGAGAAAGCCGCCATGGTGGCACATGATCCCGTTTCCCCATCTGTCGTTGGTCACCACAGAATCCCGCACTGGGCTGGACAACAGAAATTCAAGCTATATGATGGTGGACTGTAAATAATCGAGTCTTATCCGGAAAATCCAGTGGTTGGTATTGTCAGCAATAGTCCACACTGTCAGGATTGCTACAACATGCTATCAAGCAGGTCACTGAACCTGACAACCCAATCCAAAAGATCACCTCTTACCGCCAGCATAGGTTTCTGGGGACCAATTCTAACCTGACAATAGTGAGTGAGTGAGTTAGGTTTAACGCCGCTTTTAACACTATTCCAGTTATATCACGGCGTGTCAGCTTAATGTGGGAGGAAAGCCCGAAGTGGTGCAGGTCTCGGACGTTTACCATTTCGGTGAAACGCACGAGCACGGGTATGGTGCTGACAAACCTAGAAACATAATCGGGGCGAACCGGGATTCGAACCCACAATCATAGGTTTCTGGCGTGCCCAAGGGACGCAACTCTGCACAGCGAATTGCGGCGCCTTAGACGACTGGGCCACCCGTGCCCCCCAAACCTGACAATAGTGTATCAAGTCTCCATTTTGTTGTGATAAATACCCTGAACCAATTCACCAACACAGCTTTTGTTCAGACACAGACAGACACAGACAAGCAAGCAGACAGTGTCAGTGTCTCCATCCCTCTTATCACTGACGTGTTGCTATATGGCTGAAATAATGCTGATGCGACTTTAAATTATAAATCACTCACACACTATCACTGATGTAGCACAGAATTTCTCTTGCTCATGGATAGGATTGCTATCTACAGCATTTTGTATTTTGTATGAGGGTATTTGTCACAATAGGATAGAGGGAGGTGAGGTGAAGTGGGGTTCAATGTCGGGTTCAAGGTTAATGCAATTATACAGCGATGTTATAGCATAGAGACATAACACACTGGATCATCAAAGATGCTCGAGAAAAGGCAAACTGGTAAAGACAGACACTGTTTCTGTTGGTCTTTAACTCTCCTCTGAATATATATAAAGACCTCCTGCTAACAATCTCAAAATAGAGAATCGGGAAGCCTGACAAGAACAGTGTTTTCAGATTGGCATCATTGTCCCTGCCATTACTCTGGTCTATGTTAGAACTAACCTGTCATTGTACAGCCAGGCAATGAACTCCTTAGATTGCCAGTATGTGTCAGGGGCATCCCAGTCACCGTCAGACCAGATCACCTCGGGCTTGTAGGCGTTCACAATCTCGTACAACTCGGGCATCGTCTTGAACTGGAAAATTCATCGTGGTTGCTGTTTTGAAATGTTTCATTAATGGATAAAGTACTCAACAAAGTAAATAGAAGGCACCAAAAGAGTGAGTCCTTCTGGATCCATTTTTTAATTAGTCTAAATATTTATACATTTTATAGGCAACCCGGATTATTAATTCTAAACTATTGCTTTCTCATTTGGTAATATGTATTCAACAAAAGCACTCCACTATAAACTGCACATTTCTTCGAGGATTATTTGCATTTATCTAACTTAACTTGTGAACACAAAATGATCACCCTACCTTTTCAAAAGTATTGTAGCTGCATTTGTTGAGTGAATATTGTATTTTTATTCTTAGCCCTCAGGTTTTTGTAATTCCCTTCAACATCATCATACAGGACTTACATTAGCTGTAGTAACACTTGCATTAGCTGTAGGAAAACTTACATTAGCTGTAGCAACACTCACATTAGCTGTAGTAATGCTTACATTAACTGTAGCAACACTCACATTAGCTATAGCAATGCTTACATTAACTGTAGCAACACTCACATTAGCTGTTGTAACACTTACATTAGCTATAGCAACACTTATATTAGCTGTAGCAACACTTACATTAGCTATAGCAACTCTTACATTAACTGTAGCAACACTTACATTAGCTGTAGTAACACTTACATTAGCTGAGGCAACACTTACATTAGCTGTAGTAACACTTACATTAGCTATAGCAACACTTACATTAGCTGTAGTAACACTTACATTAGCTGAAGCAACACTTACATTAGCTATAGCAACACTTACACTAGCTGTAGTAACACTTACATTAGCTGTAGTAACACTGACATTAGCTGTAGTAACACTTGCATTACCTGTAGCAAACACTCACATTAGCTGTAGCAACACTTATATTAACATAAACTACTTACATAAACTTTTAGATTTCTAACAGTTTTTAAGATATAACATGCTTGTCCACAAGTCTAAGACTATAAAGTTCAGGAAGGACATTTCCTTGTGGTCCACCATTTTTACCGTTTACTATTAAGTAGATAGTAATTCTGTATCAGATAATTTTTGATAAATTTGGTAAATTCACAAGCACAGAGTTCTAGTACTGACCTTGACAAAGTTGTTGGTGGTGAAGTTGTTGGCCTTGTCTTGGAGATACAGAGGATGGAACCACTCAAACAGGGAGTGGTACAGCCCGAACCTGATCTTGGTCTTCTGTCTGATGGCTGCTGCCAGTTCACCTGAAGTTATTGTCCATGTGTTCAAAATGTGTTTGCAAATCCGAAAATCAATGATAGCAAATTATGGCCTGAAAAGATATGGTTTCATGCAGAAATATTCATTAGCTGTATAGTTTTGGTGGAAAACAAACGCTTTTTGTTTGAGACTTAGTCCTATTGTTTCCATGGGAACAAAACAATTTAAAAAAAATAAAAATTGAAAAATATGAAAAGGCAACAATTGAGCATGTGTTCACTGCACGACTGAAAGCCAGAGTTGTTTGAGGTTAAGTCCAAACTATTTCCATGGAAACAAAACAAAACAAAAAATTTTAAAAGATTTCAAAAAGGCAAAAAAGGCACCAGTTCAGCTGATAAACAAATGCATATGCCAAGTTTCATTGAGAAATGTAGAAAAGTTTTCAAGTTATGGCCCTGAAACAAATCCAACTCTTGTTTGAGACTAAGTCAAAATTGTTGCCACGGAAACATAAGAAAATAAATTTAGAACAATTTAAAAATAGCAAAAGGCACCAGTGAAGCTGATGAGCAATGCATATCCCAAGTTTCATTGAAATACATTGTATACTGAACGTTTTTCAAGATATGGCCCAGACAAGAACACTACCCTTGTGAGACTAAGTCAAAACTGTTTCCATCATGTCCATGGAAACAATATAATTTTGAAAAATTCAAAATAGCAAAAGGCACCAGTTAAGCTGATAAGCAATGCATATAGAAAGTTGTGTTGAAAAACATCGAACAGTTTTCAAGTTATGGTTCAGAATAGGATGGGAACACCGACACCAACCTGAACCAGGTTTAACACAATATGCCTACCCATACACGTCCAGAGTACTTACCATAATAGAATGGAGATATAACACCATGGATAATAGAACATGCACGCTGTCTTACCCACAAGATCCCTGTTGGGTCCGACGTCCATGGAGTTCCAGTTGAAGGAGTACTTGGACGGCCAGTTGGTGAAGCCTTCATGATGCTTGCTGGTCAGCACCACGTATCTGATGACAACATTCAGACACATTACCACATTCAACGTAATAAGCACCCGGCTCTAATAAGGATGATAAGCGCCCATGTCGAGATTTGCTAATATATTGGCTATTGAACAATCCCAATAAGCACCCCTTCCGACCCCTTTTCGCATATAATACGTATTGCTTTCTTCCCCTATTCGCGTATAATATGCACTCGTGTGATATATGCACCCTATTATTGGCAGTTAAATTCTGGAAAAATATATTTGTTGTACATAAACATTTCAGGCTGTCAGCATAAACCATGAAATTTATCTTTCATCTCAAAATTCTCACCAAAATAATATTCTAATAGGAGCCCACTATTTCTAATTGTGAGAGCGCCCTGGGCGCTTATTTCGTCGAATACGGTAACTATGTCAAGAAGGGAAAGGAACGATCTGGGCTTACAAACAGGTTCCATGGACATGTTGGCAGGCAATGTGGACAAAATATTACTTTGTTCAAAACTTGGATATAATTTTTTTAGGTCAGAAATATTTTATTACTGCTTCAATACTGTAAACCTAAGCATTAATCTAGATCCTCTTTGTCACCTCAAGTCATAACCATTAACCATGATAACTATAGTTACAATTGTATAAACATCAATTTGGAAAGTATTAATATTAATTTGGAAATTTTTAGAGACATTTGCTCCTCTTGGGGTCAAATATTCACATCTGAGGTCTAGATACACCTCTAGTGCTGTAGGCATGCATGGTAGGTGGGGACGAAAATAAATCAAATCATATAAGTTTGCCTTTAGGTATGATTAGGTATTTTGTGTCACAGTTTCACTGTGTGTAAACAGGTTCAGCTGTCACATTGTTGATTGCGGCTGTTGGTGGTTTTGTCATGCACCATGTGCACATTGATCCACATAAAATAATCATTACCACACTGGAAGTGACCGTGACCAACATGATTCTACTTCTCCTTGTTTGTCCCCCTATGTATCACCATAATGCCAATCGCCAGGCAGGTAAACAACAAGCACCATCTTTTGACATCTTTTGGGATGATGTGGCTCAGATCGAATCACCGACCTTCCGCTCTCCGGGCAGATGCTCTATCTACTAGACTACGAAAGTGGTCTCTAAATGGAATGAGAGAGTGCTAAGACTTCACAATGATGTCCTCAGATGACGTTCCAACAAACCACAGGAAAAGTAATTGTACAAATACTGTATTCGACGTAATAAGCATCCCGCTCTAATAAGCCCACAGCGATATTTACTCTTATATTGGCTAGTGAACAATCTCAATTAGCACCCCTTCTGATTGATCAATGTACACAAGACCTATTTATTCGTGTATAAAACGCACTCGTGTGTAATATGCACCCTTAATTATGGGCAATTAAATTCTGGAAAAATATGTCGTATAGAAACATTTCAGGCTGTCACTGTCAGCATAAACCACAAAATTTATCTTTCAACTGTTATTTTCACCAAAATAATATTCTAATAAGAGCCCCCTATTTCTTATTTTGAGAGCGCCTGTGCACTTATTACGTCGAATACGGTATGGGTAAACGTAACTTGGTGTGATGATTGCGCTACTGCACAGGTATTTATATCTAGATCTGCTCAAAATCCAATATTCGGCCATTAGTCTTATGCACATGTCAGTAAAAATTCCCAATCCACATTAATGTAGTTATTACCAATGTTATGGTTTTGTATATCACTGACATGAACAGGGCCAATAAAGTTTAAGAGGCATTGATGCTTAGTTTTACATTATATCACTGAATGCAATGTGATAATACCTCCAAATGTAGGAAAATAAACACTTTAACATGTTTAAAACAATACCAATTTTGAAAAAAAATTTTTTTTAAATTTGCCTGCCATGGGCACTAAGTTTAGAATCCTAGATAAGTCCCTACCATATATCCCCCTTGGGAATAAACAAGTTACTTATTACTTATACATTTTTTTATCTAATCCAAATTTATCATCAACAGCAGTGGAAGGGTATCCAGTAGGATGAGATGGTTATGTGACTGTTAACCCCCCTGGATGCCAGAGGGACATATATGTCCTTTTGAAATATAATGCTAATAGAAATGAAATAAAAAAATGTTTGATTACTCCATGCCAATATCAAATGCAACATCGCAAAAGATAGGCAGCTTGGGTTGTATACTCCCCATGGAGATGAGAAGGAAAATCGAGTCTACCGATACATTGACAGGGTCTGGGTTAAAAGGTGTTTGCGCTTTGAGCATGCTTCAACGGATATCAAGATTAAGATTCTTATTGTTATGCTAGGAAGTGATTGTATTGTTTGATTTATATTTATTAGAAGTTGACGGTCGACAAAGTACTAGTATATCAAGACAATAACAAGGATAACAACTTAAATTATTGTAGACACTTACTGCGCTCCGGATGAGTTAAAAATCTCCGCCCATTCCGCTGGGTTGAAGAACTCTGCAGTGAACTGTGCTGCAAAGTCAGCATACGTGAAGTCTGGCCTGTAGTTGTCGTGCATAAACTTCACTGTGTCGTTAGTTTTACCTCCTTTCCAGTCGTTCCAAAACCATTCTGACCGGAAACTCGGAACAGAAAACACGCCCCAGTGAATGAAAATACCTAATTTAGCTTCATCATACCAAGGAGGAAGCGGCCGTGAGTCGATAGATTCCCAGGTAGGAGAATAGTTTTTCAAACCACGCGCGGAGAACACGAATATCAGCAGCGATAAAATAAGCAGTGTTTTATCGGCCGCCATTTTGTTATCATGTGACTTTCAGGGAGGCGTGTCACGCGTGTTTACATTTCTTCCCAGCACGTGACACCGTTCGTCAAGCTCAGCGAAAGGGCTATCACTGTGAGGGGCTTGGTCATTCGTGACCAACTCGTGTTATTCCGGGACAAGCCGGTTACGGAAAGGGGCGAGTGGTGACGAATGGATAGAAACAATTCGACTGTTTCCGACAAATGTTTCAAGACTGCAAGCTCTTGAGGTTGTGCGCAACTGGTGTCCGAAGACAGAACGACTGAGTGAATATTGTTTGACCCCACAGTCGTTGGTTTATTTGTTGTTTAAAATCACACTCAGCAATATTACAGCTATGTGACGGCGGTCTGTAAATGACAGAGTCTGGAACAGACAATCCAGTGATTGATGTCATGATCATCGATCTGCGTAATTGGGTATGACATTTACCAACCAAGCCAGCGAGTCTGGCCACCCGATCACGTTAGTTGCCTTTTACGCCAAGCATGGGTTGCTGAAGACCTATTCTCTACCAGGATATTCACTGAAACCTCACTAACTCACTCTTGCAAAGGGCGGTGTCCAAGCAAATCCACCACCAATAGTAGCATTTCGGGTATATTTTCCCACACCTAGGTGGGGAGGTGAAATCAAGATTGTTGCCCTTATATGGGCGTGTATGTGTGTGTGTGTGTGTGTGTGTGTGTGTGTGTGTGGCTGCTTGTACTAGTCCGGACTTATCGGTATGCCGATGTTATAGTGCTAGCCCACTGAGATACCATGCCGCAGTTTAACACGAATACCTCACTCAGACACAGTATTCTGACTCTGAGCCGACCAGTCCTTGTTTTATCCCCTTAATTAATGCCGAGCGCCAGACATGGTAACAACAAATAAAAATTACCATCTTTTATCGTTTGGTATGACGCAGCCGGGGATCGAACCCCCGACCTCCTGCTTTACGGAGGCGCTCCCCACACCAAGGAAGGAACGCATAGGCTCTGCGATGGACTGCGTTAACCGGTCATATGTCCGCGCCATAATCCAATGTTGCGCCCCTGCCGTAAAAGGCGACAATGCTTGTCGTCAGAGGCGACTAACGGGATCGGGTGGTCAGGCTCGCTGACTTGGTTGATGCATGTCATCGATCCAAAATACGTGGATCGATGCTCATGATATTAATCACTAGATTGTCTGGTCCAGACTCGATTATTTACAGACCGCCGTCATATAGCTGGGATATTGCTGAGTGCGGCGTTTAACAACCAACCAACCAATGTTGCCCCTGTCATTTCACCATAGAGGTCAGTCATCATGTGGTGTACAGCCAATGTTTATATGACGTTGAACTGAGTCAATCAAGTGTCTAGACAAACCAGTGACTGATGCTATGAGCAGCGATGATGAGCAATCAACCAAGTAACCGAGCCAGACCACCCAATACATTACATCGTCTCTTACGACCATCTCAGACTGCTCGTGAGCTTTTTTTACCCAGAATCCCCGCTGGGTGTTGGTATAGAAAACCATTGTTGTTGATAACTTGAGTGAGTATGGTTTTACGCCGCTTTTAGCAAGATTACAAGCAGCAGTATCACGACGGGGTACACCTGAAATTGGCTTAACACATTGTACCCATGCATGTGGGGAATCGAACCTGGGCCTTCGGCATAACGAGCGAAAGCTTTGACCACAATTGTACTCGACCGCCCCTGTTGTAAACACGAACAATGGCATAATACGATGTCAAACAGTCCGCTAGGTCACTACAAGATCCTCACTGGAATCGGCTGCTGAGACAAGCACGGGGTGATGAAGACCTGTTCCGACCAGATGTTACCAGATTTGTTTAGGGGCTTTGATATTTAATGGTATTGGTAGGTGAAAATAAGAAGTCACAATCGACCATCCTCTGAGTAATAACATGGATATAATATTAACACCAGCGTTTTAAACAGCCATATTGTTTGTTTTCAAGAATTAACAATGGACTGAAAAAGATTTTACTGCATGTGTGTCCGTTAACCAAGTGAAAGAAATAAGAATTGTCAGAATAGAATGATTGTGCTATCTGAACTTTCTTCCAATATCTATCTTCGTGTGCGACATCAGGGTTACACTAACATCTTGTCTCTGAAATGAACATATTTTTTTCAGAAAAAAATAGTTGTTAAATTACCTTCTTAATAAAATATGATAATAATGAGCCCAGAGACTCTCTCTTTTTGAGATACTGCAGTAATCTAGACTTGCCC